AGGTCGATGTCTGTACATTATAGATATTAAAGAAAAATTAATGTGGGGGGGTCTTTATTAGAGCACCAGAAGCAAAATCAACCATTTTTAGATTTTTTGGTCTGTCTGTCTGTTTGTCTGTCTGTATGTTTGTTCGCGCATCACTCGAAAACGAATGCATGGATTTGAATGCAGTTTTCACCGAAGTATTGCTAGAGGTCTAACTTAAAATATAGGAAGAAAAAAATTAGAGAGTTGCCACCTGTTTGAAAATCGGAGTTTAAGTAAATTGATAAGAAAAAATGAATATTGCAATATGGGCGTCAAAAGAACGAGGCTGAAGAAGGCTTACAGCCAAAAATATTTTTTAGAGTTGGCACCTGTTTGAAAATTTACATTTAATTTAATTTATGAGATAAATTGAATATTGCAATATGGGTATCAAACTGAAGGGGTTTAGGAGATTTTATTGCCGAAAATGGTTTTAGGAAGGGCTGCCACCTGTTTGAAAAATTTTATTGTATTAAATTGATAAAATAAATGAAATCTATATCTACATCTAGATATATATATAATAAAATTGTAACAGGTCGATGTCTGTACCTTATAGATATTAAAGAAAAATTAATATGGTCGGTTTTTATTAAAGCCACAGAAGCCAAATAAACAATTCTTAGAATTTTTGAATATCTGTCTGTCTGTATATTTGTACGCGCATCAGTCGAAAGCATGGAATTGAATGCAGTTTTCACCGTTGTATCGCTAGAGATTTAGCTTCCAATATAGAAGAAAAAATTAGAGAGTTGCCTGTGTTTAAAATTTCAGTTTAGGTCAATTGATACGGTAATGTGAATACTGCAATATGGCTGTTAAATGAAAGAAATTTACAAAGGCCTACAGCTGAAAATATGTTTGTGGAAGGTTGCCACCTATTTGAAAACTTTAATTTAATATAATTGATAGCATAAATTAAATATTGCAATATTGGCATCAAACTAAAGACGATAGGAAATTTTAATCCTGAAAATATTTTTAGGGGATTTGCCAACTGATTGAAAGATTGTATTCATTGCAATTTGTAAAATAAATGAAATATTGCAATACGAATATTAAACTAAAGAGGATTAGGAAGCTTACTTTTGAAAATATTCTTGAAGCGGGTTGCCACTTATTTGAAAACTTTAATTCAGTTAAATTTACTATATAAACTAAGTGTTGCCATATGGGTATCAAACGAGAGTACTTGAGAATAATAAAATTGCAACAGGCCGATATCTGTACATAATAGATGATAAAGAAAAATTAATAGGGGGTTTATTAGATCAACAGAAGCCAAATCTAAAATTTCGGTATGTTTGTCTGTATGTTTGCAAGCGCATCACGCAAAAGCTAATGTATGGAATTAAATGCAGTTTTGCTCGAGCTCTAATTGAAAATATAGAATCCATTTTTTTTTTGTTTTAGTTTATCGTCGATCATTATTCCTAGGTATTTGAACGTATTAACTTTTTCCAGTGCGTCGTTGTTTATATTTAGAGTTAGCAACGCACCGTTCTCAAAATTTCGCCTTGATATAACCACAAACTTAATTTTTTTTTATTTCTGTTTGGAAGGGTTTTCGCTAAAAAAAATTTAAACTTTTCGTTGTTGCTGCCAAAAAAATTAAGAAATCTGAGACGTTACGTTTTACAATTTCATACAGTTCTCTTTACAATGCATTTCACTAAACTACTAAACGGCTGCATCGACTTGGTTCATATTTGGCAACACGTTGAAAATAAATATTCTGACCAAAAATTTACTCGGTATTTAGCTCGGGATATTCCTAAAATTCTTATACAGACTAAAACGTAAAAAACCAATATATCACTAAAACCAATTACGCTGGGGAACTGAAACTTAGCACTGATGCATATATTACAAATGCATTGGGAAAGGGGGCGTGGCTCCTTCCTTCCATGCAAACTGAACTTCTCATATAGGTTATGTCTGGAACTGCTTACGCTAACGTCCTGAAATTCTACACAGCTACATATGTTATCAATACCGTAGTTATGGCGAAAAGTGATAATTATTGGAAAGGCTGGATCGATATACATTTACGTAAACGCGCAAGTATCACTCGATTGGGAACCATTTTCTCCTAGATTTATAAATCCCATTGAACTATTCTAACTTTGTCTTTAATTTTCAGTAAAGTAAAATTTTTGTGAAAATTTTGAAGAATTTTTTTAAGTTTTTCACAAAGAATGGAGCTTTGCTTTTACGAGTTTCGCTATAAACTGTCCTATCTACATACCTATTTGCATAAAATGATAGCCGTTTTCGTTGTTCGGAATAAACTCAAAAAACACTGAATAGAGGTCCGTCAGATTGTCGGAGGTTATCTTACATACATATATGGTCCAATTACATGCTACTATAAAACTCGCTAGGTGGTGCTGGAGTAGAGTTATTTATAAAAATCGTATTTATTAACCGATTTCGTTCAAATTTTAAATGTGAGCTATGTACCTGTATGATAGAAAATTCTTTTGATAAAAATTTACCCGATTAGTGCCGCTGGAGTTAAGGTAGAAATTCATAACACGTATTCATTTTATGGTAAGCAATGGTTTTGCAGAAAATAAGCCCAATGGATGGCGCTGCAGCCGAAATGTATAGAAACCCCGTGTGGTTGGTCTGCTTTGGACCTATGTTTAAGTTATACGAATTTAGTTTTCAAATGTTTAAATGAAGCATGGGGTTAAGTTTTTCTGACGCCCTCATGCACGATCATGCGGTCTTGCATCTACCCTGAAATCAGTTCATAAATTTTACCACGAATTGTAAAAGTGGTGAATTAACAAGGAAAGATCACCGTAGGTATATCAACTGCTTCATTTGAAAGATACTTAAGAGATCACACTACTCATTTAGCTATGTACCGGAAAACTTTTCATCCTATGGGACAGCGAGGATTCTTGGCCTTCCTATAAAGAAAATGCACTTCTGTGCTCTTGAGTTTCCCTATAAGAACTTTTATTGGCATACGTAAGATCATACAAAAAGATTACGCATGATTGGCAGAGATCTCACAGGTGAAAATAAGACCATCAGTAAAGCTCATGACACCAAAAGGGATTGGTATTCCATATGGTATCACAGCGTTACTACTATTTGCCTATGTGTGAGGAGGATACTGCGCCTTAGTGGTTTCAACTTAAATCAAAAACTTTGACTTTACAGACTTATTTTGTTTTTAAACGCTCTTTTGCATTGGCTAACGCAAAAGCTCTTATTAGGCGCCGCGAAGTAAGCGGGCATTGGCTAGTACATTAATAAATTTCGAAATGCTTAAAAAGAAGCTTGTTGCTCAAGCTTACTGCGCTGATAGAAGCGACAATGCTGTCAACAAGGTTGATGGCGCAAATGTAGGTGGTTTTGGAAAAACGGTTTATCGTGACCATGCGACAATCTTCATGACAAAATATCCAATAGCACGGTTTGCATATTTTGCAATAAATCCGTTAAAGACGTCAGGACCAGAAAAAAAGTTACATATTCCATCAGATAGAAACCTATTCTTAAAAACAGAGGAATTTCAGTGGACATAGATGACGAGGATTTCCTGCAAAATTTAAATGATTTACTGTCACAAAATTAAATGTAATTTTATCATGATTTTGCAGACGCTCGTACCAAAATTCACGTACTTTGAAGGAACGAAACGATTAAGAAAAAATGCAGAAATGCACTATTTTGAGAAACATTTTTTTTTCGTGGAACCGAAATAGCCGACTGTAACGTTACCAAATTTCAGCATACTTACTATACATTTTTTCAAATACTTTTGTTACGTCTTTCGATAACAACCGCGGTCAAACTCACCGCCCGCTGACATGCACTTCGTTTAATAATGGATTGAAATTATCCACTAGAAAAAATTTTTGCTTTCTTACTATGATGACCCCAAATTATCAGCTGGATCTCTGACTACTGGTATACCCAAACATTTTTTAATTGAATAAATGGTGTGTAAAAACGCTAATCCTGGGCCTCCCCTCTCACTGAGTTAATCCACTTATGTGGTTACTTCTTTTGAGCACAGATAGCATTGAATAATAAACACATATGTTAGTGCACACTGTTAACTACTACACCACAGCGCTGTTCTACTTGTTGTAAAATATAGTTCTGTAAAGTTGTAGTTAAAATTTATAAATATTTATTCCAGGGACCGCAATTATTACAACTAAATTAATTAAATCAGCATTTAATCATTATCTAAATTTCTCTTTAAATATATCTATTAAATATTATTGTGTTTTATCTTTTCGCTCAACGGAAACAATTATGTGATAATTTACATTTTTCCGCACGGGGATAATAATCATTATTGAGTTTTATTTTCCCACTTAAAAAAAAATTATTTTTATACAATTTAAAAGGCCATTAAGAATCTTACAACGTGTTGATTTTTTTGGTTAAAATTTAAAAAAGTAATGATTACTTTCCGTCCCAAATTTATCGTATCTTATCTTTTAGAAATCACTTACCCTGGATCATTTGGCACCTCCGACGGCGAGCCGGTGCTCATCTCCTGCGACTGATTTACTAAATCCAATTTCATATCCATTTCGGCGATAATTTTTTTTATTAAAGGGATGCTGCGTTCAGAAAAAAATTGATCGACTTTACTTCAGCAGGGTTGCGTTGAGCTAGCACAACAAATGCGCGTCTGGTTGGCGGTTAACTATGCACACTAAGTCTGGGGATATAGCTATGGCTATCACTAAATGATAATAATACCGCTTTCAAGGACATATGTAAGCACTCGCAAGCATTACTGCAGACAACGAGGCAAACACTCTTCCTACTCGACTTTAACGCTGTGTTAACAGCATTGATAGAGTCGATGATGGCGACGACAATGGTGACAAGAAAACGCGAATTTCCGCCAGCTGGATCCGGGTCCGACAACTATTGTTGCGATTGCTAGAAAATACACTACTAACACTGTTCCAAACTAGACGACACATTCATGCATGCAATTACTCATATGTATACGCGCGAGTAGGTAAATATGTACACATGTAGAAAAGCGAAAGCGCACGAATCCAATTTGAATGGATCACATTTCTGGCAAAGCCTGGTTACAGAGCTTTAAAGCTGAATCGCCAACTCCACAGATTGTAATTGTTGTTGATGTGGTTGTTGTTGTAGCACGAATATAAACTGCACGCGGACTTGATTTAATTTTGATTCGATTTTTAATTTGAATACTAAGATTTTTTATTCTTTTAGAGTTCCAATTGACAAGGCACCGCTTCGTGCTCGCTACAAACTACAATTTCGCACATCCGTCGGAGCAGCACTAATACATTTCATCAGCCGTTCTTTTTTGTTGTCGTTAACAGCTGGAGCACTTGCACTTGAAATTCTAATAACTTCAACACTTTATGGTTATTTATGATTGAGTAATGTTTTTTTTTTTTGTTTATTTATTTATGTATCACCATTAAAGTTAATTGACAATCACTGAACGTGCGACGAAAGCTGTGGGCAATGAGTAGTAGAAAATATTGGTAATTACTAAGAAATTTCAAACTGATCGCTGTGAGTCGCTTTCGTGTAAACCAAAGACTGAAAATAAAAGTTATTAACCGACTTCCAAAAAAGGAGGAGGTTATCAGTTCGTGGGAATATTTTTTGTACGCATAACTTTGGACCACGTCAACCGATAATTCTTTTTGTATCGAAGAGGTGGCCCTATACTAATCTGGTTTAGATCCGATTACTGGGTCATGAAAAAATTAACGGTACTCCTAAATTTGTATATGAGAATTGAAGTCGGTTTTGTTTTTTTGCTTAAAAATTACTTATTTTACAATTTTCCACATCAAAAAGGCATAGTGAAAAATTATGCTTTAGCTTTTTCAAAGGCACCATTATACTCATGATAAAAACAAAACAAGGAAAAACTATTGAAAGGCAGTTTGACGTTTGCCAGCAATATAAGCCAAATAAAATTAAAAATTTGCCTTTTATTTTTTTGAGCAGGAAAAAATCGGTAATTGTTGCCTTTTATTATTTCAGGCAAAAATAAAAGTCAAAGTTACAAATCCATGGTGTAATAATAACAAGGTGTTGTCAGTAACTTAACCTCACTTTTTCGGCAGGTCTATTCCGGTCACGCATTTTAAAGTACTAGAAAAGGTACTAATTATTTACTACCTTTAATCCGTTGGTGCATACTATTTCAAATTAAATCTAGAAAAATGTATAATTACAGGCTTATAAGCCTGAATATATGTTTGTATCGGCAGCTCCACACAGCTTGGACATATATTGTAACTTTAAAAAAGTAAAAGCCGTAAAATAAGGCAATTTCCTATAAGACTTTAAATAATTTTCTAAATAGATTAAAACACACAAATATCGATAATATAAGCGAATTCCTAATTTAACCATGCAGCCACTCTATTCTAGTGTATCAGTAGTTCATTTGGCTCAATATTATGGCAATGCAGCAAAAGTTATTTAATATAAAAAAGCGCCTTTCCATACGATTTTTGTGTACGTTTTTTTCCATTGATAACCACGATATCTTTTATTTTTCTACTTTTTGAGGACAAAAATTATACAAATCCAGCAATTTTAAATATTAGTATTGTTCTGAACACCAAGTTCTTTAAAAATCGCGATAAACGAATTTATAAAATGGAGTATTTTAGATACTATTTCCCAACGAATAGTAGTATAAAAATTGAGATCGGCAGCACTGAAAATAAGCATGCCAATCATGTCAAAATCACAACAAACACGTCGCTACTGATTACACCTTGTTATTATTCCACTATGTTACAAATCAAGTATTCCAGTGTTGTGTATAATCGAGTGTGATAGTTTTGAAGCTTCAATCTGGATTCTAATAACCCCCTAATACACAAATACTAGGGTTATATCAAAGCTAAATATGTAGGTACTATGAATAAATACAATACATGAAGGCATTTTTTGTTAACGGCATCAGATCTGCATCGATTATTCGATTTTCAAAACTGAGGTTCCAAATTAAACGGCTTGGCCTCTAAATGTACAGCAAGGTATGACTATTTGGGAAGGGCCCCTTTGCCCCCTTTTTTTTAATTATAAAACCTGCACTGTTCGTTGTATTAGAAAAAATTTAAAAAATATGTGCAAGGTTTCATTTTTTTGAATAGGGTTGCCACCTGCTTAAAAAATCATAAGACTTACACCGTTCGCGCAATTTAAGAAATGAGTAGCAGGGTGTCCACCGAAACCAGTAAAGTTTTGAACGGGGTCTACGAGAACATAATTTGGGAGCCTATGAACTAGAGGAACATATCGCACACACTCTTTAAAAGAGGCACAACTCATCCAACACTTACATATATGTAACAGTAGTTTTCTAGTAAGAGAATAGGTACAGTCATGAACAAAGAAATATTTGAATTAATTGGAGATAAATCGTACGAATTAGTTTTTGCAAAAAAAAATCTACGTAAATATTTTTGAGTTGTGCCTCCTTTGAAGAGGGTAGGAGGTAAATGTATGTACGGTTCAACCGGCGCTACACGGAACAGAAAGCTTCCTGAAGGTTTATCAGTATTGTTGAAGGAGTATTGGCTTAAGTAGCCTGCTATTGTTACCGTCTAGTGTTACAGGTCTAATTAACTATAACAGCAGGCCAGATTGGAACTCCTTTCACCTGACAGATTGAGCTGCTTTTGGACAAACGGAGTTCTGAGGGCTCAGCGAACGCTGAGCGAAAATACTAAAATGGAGAGTTGCAAGAAGCTCCTGAGTAAAGACAGCAGTTGGCGGTTGAGTGAGTTTGTTTTACCGATATTAAGTGGCAACTTTCAATCACCATGCATATATTGCTCTACAGGCAGAGCTATTTGCATTCAGAGCTATTTGAAGCAGGAAGAAATGGAATACTCTCAGCATTTCACATTTTTTTCATTTAGATTCCCTCTTTTCTAACGCTTTTTTCTCTCTTCTGAACGCTTGGAAGTGATATCAAACTGAAAATATAATACATAATGTCAACCAACCCAAGTCTAGGGACAGAAGCCTTAGTTAATTGAACTGAATACATTTACAAGTTAACAATTCGCATGAAGAAATTTTCAAAAGCGAGAGTGAATAACTTAGTTATTTCTAGTATTTACACAGAGTTGTATGTATTCTTTGAAATGCAACCTTGATTAAGCCCACTGCGAGCTTTTCTATAAAATCAGCAGAAAACGAATATAAATACTTTAATTGAATTGCAATTGGAGCAAGCGCTGTCGACGCCTACCGCTGCACATACATATGTATATACACAGATACTTATGAATCCAAAGCAAAAAAAAAGTCACACTAAGGCACAACAACAATAGTAAGCTTTCGTACCAAAACGTCATAAAAAAGCAATTGATGCTAACAACGGCATCGCTTTCAAATGCTTGGCAACAACAATGAGTGCAGCAGTTGCAATATTAACGCATCTGTGGATCAGCTCAGTCTAGCTTTGTAGCTTATTATAGAGTTCCATTCATGAGACGAAAGTAAATATGGATGTACATATGTATGGATGTAGGTATTTAAGAGCTTGCTTGCAGTCTTTCTTGCTGATAAATAAACGGAACTGATCTATAGACTTTTGCATGGTTTTATGAATAGTTGGAGCCTCGATCACTGAATTTGAATGAATTTGTCCAAGCTCATTCAAAAATAAAATACATATACATAATAGAATATGCCATTAAAGCTTTGCCCTACTCAAAAATCGCATGGCAGTGAGAGTGTTGCTTTGTCAATCGAAAACACGTGACCGTAATTACTCTGGTAATTTTAAACTTCTCTGTCCCGTCGGCATCACCGCAATCACCGTCAGTCAATATGCTACTGTTCTCCTTTGAAATGGCAACAAATATTATAAAATTTATATACAGATGGGGTGCACAGTGGTTCAAAACTGGAATTTAGTGTTCACAATTCACTGGAGCCTTCATTTTTCACTCATTTTGATTAATTCTTTTTAATGAAAGCTAATAATTTGCAAGAGACCAGTTGAGCCCGATTTTTGAATTTTGGTTTGTTTGTTTGTTGTTTGTATTAAATTTTTTAGTACAAACTGTAGAAAAAATAGCAATTTGGAAGAAAATCGATTCTCCTGTTCCAGTTAATAAATATTACATAATATGTAAAAACGAGTTGAAAACAATTGTAGGGTGACCCCGAAACAAAAAAAAATTCACAAAAAAAAAGTGAAATGTTTTATAAAAACCTTTCACCAAAATTTAAAAAAAAAAATTTGAGTTTCGAGACAAATTTTGGGTATGCAGTTTTATAGATCATTAAATTTTAGTACAATAAAGGGTAATTTGCAATTGGCTTAGAGGTCGTGTTGAGTTTTACATTTCGAGCAAATGGGTGAATCCTTGCGTTGCGGACGTTACGTGCGGACGCTTCTTTTGCCGAAAAAAATAAAATTATAAGTTACAATTTTTTGTGGTATAAGGGAAGGTATACAGCAGTACTTATGAGAACATAATAATGGAAATTTGAATTTGAATTAATGTCTGCATATTTTCCTTCGAAGTTTATGTTTGGACGTTACTGAAAACGGAAGTGATTTTAATATAACCATCAAAGCCAACCGATTTGCGCAAGTTGTAATACATACATATATGGAAAACAAAATCTAAAATAATACTTTGAAGAAAAAATAATGAAGTTAAGAATATGTATTATAAAACAAAACTAAATGTTGAATTAACTTTAAAACAATTGTATATGTGCGTTCGGGACGTTACGTTACGGACGTTACTCTTTTTGCCGTTGAAAAAATTGATTTTTTTAAAGGGATATTGGTGTATCTTGTTTAAATATATAGTGCTTAAAATCAAGGCTACTTCTGGTTTTGTTTGAAGAAGTAAGAGGGGCAAATCAGATTTCTCAAATAAGTGTGAAAAGAAATGTGAAATAACTATATGGTGTACTATGCCATTTTCGACACAAAAACATGAGAATTTGAATTGCATGTATTTTCTCAGATTTTGGTTGACTATTTCTCGGATTCGCCCATATCTGCATGCTAAATGGGAAATAAAAGCATTTGTTATATTATTAAAAATCAACGCGAACTCTTAGCCACTTGCGCCGTGATCTTTATTATACTAAAATCTAATTACGTATAAAACTGCATACCCAAAACTTTTATAAAAACGAAAAACAAAAAATAATAATTTTGGTGAACATCTTTTATAACATTTCAAATTATTTTTATTTTTTAAGTTTTTTTTCGATTTGGGAGAACCCTGTAATCGTTTTCAACTAGTTTTTATTATGTAACATCTATTAACTGGAAAAGGAGAATCGAGTTTCTTCAAAATTGCTACTTTTTCTGCACTTTGCACTAAAAAAAATTAATACAAACAATCAAGCATTCAAATATCGGGCTCAACTGGTATCTGGCAAATTTATTAGCTTTCATCAAGAAAGAAATTAATTAAATTGATTGAGAAATAAAGACTTCAGTG